CCATAGTTAGGGTACCCAGGGTCCACCACTACATGTATATAAGCACATGAGGATCTAAGGGAAGACCTTAGATTCATTCACCTATTTCATGCGGCCTAATCCTTTGAGCCCCTTTTTTAGGCTGCATGTCACTGCATGCCTGGTTTGACCCTTTCTTGGCAAATCCCTTTTTGTGCAGGTCACTGGATGCTGGCAAGCACCTTGCTGCCATTTCCTTGCCTTAGGGCACAGGATCTAATGTGCTGTGACAAGTTTAAACTCTTATTGAGTGTGAACAGAGGGCATGGGGAGTGGATTGGTGTCGCAGTCCTTATCAATCTACATTCGCTCCTTGAGCCATGGTCACATCACGCTTTCTCCTGCCATATTTAAAAACAAATAATTGATGTGTCTCACTCGCATTCACCATGATCTTCTGCCCATTTTTATTGCAATCATCCTCAGTATCATGTTCTATGAGCCAAGGCCTTTGAGACCTGGCTTTCTACATGCTGGCATCTGATGCTCTTACTTAGCTTCATTGAGTTTTGCCTCACAATTCAGACTTCTTGACTGTCAAGTCAAACTTGCCTCTCTGCCAAATATGGAAATAGTGTGACGTAACAGAGGGCCGCAGCGTCTCATGATCTAGGGTCTCATATGCAGTGTCATGCTCGTTCTGTCTGTCTATCACTCATTTCCTTTTATACTGCTTTTAAAACTGGGGAAACATGTAGCCAATAAGCTAAGCTTCAATGTAAGATTCATACTTAATAGCATACTGTAGATGCAGAAGCATGAAAAATCATACATTGTGGGATTTCAGTTTCACACCCATGTAAAACTCAATGAGATTGAAAGTTAATGAGCCCGCCACTCAGCATATTCTCCTCATTTTTGGTGTAGAGTAGCATGAATGGCATATCAACATAAATACCAAAGCAGAGGGCAGGTGGAGACAATTTGGGGGAGCTAGTCAACTTTGTCTCATTGACTGGGGGTGTCTCATTGACCGGTTGATGATTGTAGCAAATTGAGATCACAAAGGCAAAAAACCTGTCGACATTTGCTAAGCATTTGCCACATGTGCAAATTGCTTCATGTCTGCGGTGTGACCTCCATGCCTAGGCTCGAGCTAACACCAGGGGGTCCAGTTAAAAGTGTACCCATGGGAATGCTGAGTTTGAACATGCCACCGCCACCACCACAATGTGACCACGTGACTAGAGGACGCGCCTCAGGCTGAGCATGTCTTCCTGCATACTCCTCGTATCACTCAATGCTAGCACGTTCATTTACACATTCATACAGTCAAAGTCCTGTCTAAAGTAGCAAATATGTCTGAATCTGCTTAGTCTTCTCTCGGTGACCCTCAAATCAATGCTGAATGGCTTGCTGAGCTGTTCTCTCGAAAGTGTGGAATCTCACAACCTTGAGAATTTCAGATCAAACACGGACTAGACATCATTGAAGGACACGAGGTCTTTCTAGTTATTTCACCAGGTCAGGGCAAGATGACAGTCTTCTGGGCCTCTCTACTCGCAGCTCAAGCACTCGGTGAGCGGGGTGTCATGTTATACATTGTCCCTACCAAGCTACTTTCTATACAGCAGGTACTATATTTCTGCTGGATTCACACACAGGAATAAAGAGCTATGTATGGCTTGATTTACTAGAGCGAGAGTGCCGGTCGAGTTGGGCTGCATGCATTTGGGCTACTTGGGTGGGCAGAGGAAGGGAAGGTGGGGATTTCTTTGCTTGCTTCTTCATCACTTGGATTTATACTCTGTATGGCATTGGTTTCTTGGGACGACATAGCTAAAATACATGAGAGATACACGATCTACGCACGATGTCCTTTACAGACGCGTTCTGCACAATGCGATCACGTGGCATGTCCGACCAGCGCCAAAGCTTCGAGCGTCGAACGTGCCAACGACTCCGCATTCCCACGGGGGGTCTTCCCTCTGGACCCCCCGTGATAGTCTCAGCCTGAGTATAAGGAACGACTGTCTTCCTGTACGAAGGCTGATTTATGAGCCTACTCCACGCCCTTCCAGCTGTGTCATAATCGCATTCTACCGTTCCGTTTAATTTGCTGATGACTGTTAATCAGTGTCCGAGATTGACATCATGGCATGTTTCATAAGCCCTGGTATACAGAGAGCCTTGCTGGGGACTTCTGCGCACCAGCGATAACGAAGGAGGCCTATGCATGTAAAGAAAAATGGTTCCGCGTCCCATGCAACATCAATGTACAATCGGGGCTTATTAGTTTGGTGAGTGCACCTTTCATCACGCTTTGGCAAATAGACCTGCTCATGTCGTGTTGTTGTAGAACATATACTAGCGACGCACACGCTGGCACGACGTTCCTATTGTGAGTGAACTGCGTATCCTGCCTGAAAATGAGGCACCACCGCTCAGTGCCGACTGGCATAAGGTGTCGCGGACGATCAGCTCCTCTGGCGAGAAACTGTATCTCTGATACAAGACAAACAGAACGCTCGCGCAGATGATAATGACAGGGCGGCAGACAGATCTTATCACAGTCCTGGACGTACTCCTTGGGGATGATCAGCTGTGGTGTGGATTCGAGAAGCTGGGCACGCCAGTGCTGGAGGGCGGTGATCATTCAGCGCGAGAGCGTCTGGCTCACATACCGTCGACGCGTGAAACGTGCGTGATTTTTTCCTCCCTATGTCGTGCACGTGCTGACATGGATCCCAGCGGCACCCGGCGCCCTTCCGCTGCATTTCACGCACGACGGACGGTCAAAATATGCAGATAGCGGACCTGCATTGCTCGGTGTCGGCAGGGACACACCGCTCGCGCCATGCAGCAACTCGGACGATCTGGTAAACATGCTTCTCGGACGCATGCTCGACGCGGAGCGGCAAGGTCTCGTCGTCTTCACTGGTGATCAGCTGAACGGGCAGTGCACCTCGTGGAATGCGCGTTTCGTGCTCGCGGAGTTTGCAAAGGTTGTGACACAGCGCGGGATCCCGTGGGCGGCCGTGTTCGGCAACCATGACGATGAGGACGGGGACTCGAGAGACGACCAGATCAAGCATATGCAAGGGATGCCATACAGCCTTGTCGAGGCGGTTCCGAAGACGTCGGCAACTTCGTATTCAAGGTCGAGTGCCGATGTGTATGTGTGGTCGTTTTTGTCAATGATCAGTCGCTGATATGAGACGATATATAGATATATGACATATTTGTTGACACTGTATTTCTTGAACTGGCTCGTACTCGAGAGGGTTCTTCAACTGGTTCAGATTTTTGTGCCTACGGAGTACAAATGGATCCATCGGGTAAGCTTTACATCGCAGGCCCAAGGGGTCGTTTATATCAGCCCATATGCCCAACCCTCTTGGGACCAAATTGATTGGTTCTTGCAAGAGTCATGTGAGGTGCTCTTACTGGAAGATTTTTTCGAATATACTGACATTGCATACTCTATCGACCCTATTGAGCGTACCTTCACTCCGGACGGCGGGAAGGACCTCGGCAATATCTGGGAACGACAGGCAGTTGACCAGGTGACGCTGGAGACGAGACGTCTCGCGAAGCCCAACGCGCTCGTGATCTACCACATTCCTGTGTATGTCGTTTTTTTTTTGCTCACTTCGGCACACACACCATCACCATATCCACAAACAAGAGACGTACGCGGCAGCAGGCACGGACTCAGATACAGGGAAGCCGCTTGACGTTGGGCAGCACGATCTCGAGGGTCAGGGCTCGCGGGAAAAGCAAGCGGGGTTCTGCCACAAAGGGCTGCTGCAGGCCCCCGAGAGCGATCATGTCGCGGCCGGTAACGCGCGCGAGGCGAAGGTCGTCACCAGTGGGCATTGTCATAGTACATCCTTCCTTCGCGAATATCCTGGCACATGTTGCTTATATTCACGCGCACACAGTCACCGAGAACTGCAGACGTGTGAAGGGCATGTGGATGTGTTTCGGCGGGGGAGGGCAAGTGCCCAGTTTGAATCTTGCTGAGAATTTTCAGTGTCCTCATCTGTCCTTTTGCCGATCATACTCGGGCTACGGCCGCATGGGCTTTAATTGCCGCTTCCGCTTATTCAACGTCTCGGACTACGGCGAGACGATCCGGACATACAAGCACACGGAGAACGACGAGATCGTGGACGAGATGGTACTCGCCGGGCGCGGAGCGCCGCCGCCGTTCGGGGGCTTTTTGTAAAATGTTTAAAACATTTTACATCCCGCATAACGCGGCCGCAAATGGGAGTATATACAGTCGTGTCGTGCAACGACGACATCGTTGTCGCCGTTCGAGGGCCTGTGGCGGTGAGGTCCGCTCGATGCATGCCGCTGAGAGGTGGAGATCATAGACGTTCGGTACGGATTGTATGTATACATGATGCTGTGTAGGATTCCGGGGTATCGGAATGTATCATGTTGTCAATTCAGACTGGAGGATTGAGTGGCAGTGAGCATCTCGATGCTGCGCGAAGTTTTGGAAAAGCACATCATACAAATGTTCTCCCAGCTGTTGATATACGATGACAACCCAATCTAATGCTCGATGACGGCGCATTTAAACGTCGAGAACTGAGAACTGGGCTGCTGTTTTGCAGTGGGCTATCCGTGAGATATTGATATGTGCTGAACAGTTTTTGCTCGCAACGTGGCGTGTGTACATCGTCAGGTGGATATATTGCATCCACTTACTTCACGCGTGTCTGGACTCGGAATTCAAGCAGAGCTCTGTGAGACGACATCCGTAACGAGTATCCAGAAAGCTGAAGGGTGGCGTCAGATGCGGAAAAATTGCGTGGATGCACAATTGGCACCTTCATGAGCATGCGCCTATCTTCGGGACTGGGTCGGCCTGCAGGGGATGATCGTCTGTGAGTATGTCGCCGCAACGGAGGCCTAGGCGCGTCAATAGGGGGGAAGTAGGACAGGCGCACTGTGAGACATTAGAAACGTGCAGAAATCAGAATATACAAGAGCGTCAAATGAGGATCTCGGGCGCCTCGTACCACCTCAAATGGTGTCACCTGTGCGGGGCCTCCTGGACGCACCAGCGGGTGATAAGAGCCCCCTGATGAGGCAGCAGTAACGCCTATTAGGCGGATCGAACCCTAATAGACGCGACAAGGGCGTGGCAGTCGAACTGATGCATTCAGTATACGAGTAGAGCCGTCCGTCGGATGTGCGGGACGATGAACATCGATTATATTTTTTGTCGTTGAATATCGCGCTTCGTTCGTGTTTTTTGCTGCCAGCTGGCGCTGTCTTCAAATGCGCGTCCCAGTTCCCGTTGCTGCTTCAGCTCAATGGCTAAGGTATCTCCCTACGCCATGCCAACTGAACTGCAGGATGTGCGGAAAACTCCAGCTGTACCTCGAGCATCTGATCCCTGCAAACGGTCAGTTGGAGTCACTGTAATTGATAGGATTCGCTTGGTCGCATGGCGCACGTGCATTGAGGAAATGATCCCGTGCAGTGAATCCCAGGAATCCACAATAGAGTTGAGGGACGTGGAGAGAGTCACGCCTGAGGGGTCAAAATGGCAGGTCAACATCTCGGAAGTGTACACATTGTCTGTGCTCGTCCTTCGTCCTTCCTTTACTGCTCCTCCTCACCGTTTCCCGTATTTGGCGTTAAATTCCACCCACCCGGAATAGCCCGAGCGTATGCGGCGACGCGCTTGTAGGCCGCGTCCATGTTTTGTTTCCTCGAGCGAAGGCAAATCACGCTGACGTGGCTGCTAGACTGGCAGGAAAATAGGTGGAGGATCCATGATGAGCGAGACAGGACGGATGGACAAGGGGCGAGGGGAAAAAGAAATGTCGATGATGAGAATGCACAGACAAGTGAGACAGATGAGAACCGCGTGGCTGAATGCTGTTGATTTTGTAATTCGTCGCTCTTGTTCAATTCTCACAACGCCTATTTACCTACTCGATGCCACTGTCATCTCTCCATTCACGCCAGTGACCAAGCTGGATTGGAATACAGACGACTGGTCGTTGAGCAAGGACCAGAGTGGGTACAGGCAATCCAAAAGGCATCAACAACGTGGTTTTCCCGGATCAAGTTGGACATGGCAGTAATCTGGACGATCTCGAGAATACTCTGTGTGAATAGCGAAGCACAACGACGGCGGCATCTTGTCCGGAGGCGATCTCGGAACTTTGTGGAGAGAGATGCACTCTTCTAAATCCTCCCTGGAGGACGCCTCGCTTTTCCGCGTCCGAGCCAATCAGCTTGGCTTGGTGTATTGGCTCGCTCACCCGCCCAGAAAGCAAAGCGATTTCATACCTCAGTGTGCCTCTGGGTGCCCCGCGGCTGTTGTAGTAGTGCGGCCGAATGCCTGGGCGGCGGCACGAGTGGGTGGTGGCCCACTTTGTGCTTTATTGCTCCCGCGAACACCAACTCCTTCTGAGCCTCTCGCTCTGTGTCGCTGCCCCGTGTCTGCATCTTCAAGCGGCTAGCGCATTTCGTCGGCGGCGACGAGCGCAGGGCTGCCTTCGAGATGAAGCCGATGAAGGGGCGTGCAGAGGTGCGTTAACATCATCGATCTCCGTTCGTTTAGCGTACGGCTGTTGCTCCAGCCAGTACTTTGCCGGCAGTGTTGTCGGCGCTCATGGGTGCATGCAGGTGTACGTTAAAGAAACGTTGTTTAGGACGAGAAGCGGGCTCAGCACGCAACGACGGCCCTCCCGACGGCCCACGCCACGGCGAGTAGCTGCAGCAATGACACTCACAGCATACATCTCACACAACTAGTGATGTCCAAGGCCGAGCTTTCGAGCCCGAGCCGAGCCCGAGCCCTGGCAGAGGGCCCGGCTTGCGATTCTGGCAAGCCTGAGCCTGCTGAAGCTGAGCCCAAGCCCGGGCTTTCAGGCCGCTACACACAACCCACGACATGCAGGGCATCGAGATCAGTCTAGCTGTATCTCCCAGTCGACACAGCACACCCATACGTCTAATGCACGATGTGTGACCCGAGGCCCGATGCGCGACCCGCAGCGCGTCGCAGCTATCACGTGCGCAGCTATCACGGGGCGGGGCGGACTGGCCTCTGGCGCCACCACACAGTGCTGCACAGTGCGGTCCAGCTTGCTTCGAGTGCGTCTGGCTCGGCGCCGGCACGAAGGAGGATTTGCTTGTGCTGTTTCGCGACAGGTGTTTTCAACGTGCCAGACGACATGGGCGACAACGCACTTACGCTCGACTTCGTGCTCATGTGATGACCACACTTCCAT